CCAATCGTGTCATGCAACTCCCCCCTGCCATGACACCTGAGGCCGAACTCCAAACAGTTCGATGCGCGTTCCGTACTATTGCGTAAAACGCAAAGACCTATGGGAAGGAGATTGACTTGAGGCGAGAACCAGCCATTATAGATCGGCATTACATCTCTTATATAAATACCACCCGCTAGCGACGGAGCACTTCTGTCGCTCGTTTGTGCAGCCGTGTCATTCAGAATATGAAAAATAATCTGAAACATGACATTTTTTTTCGGATAATTATAAGTGCAAACAATATCGACGCTGGAAAAATTTTTCTTTCACCCATTTACATGACTTAACGTATCGTTGATGGCGCAGCGTATAGGAAACGAGCGATTGTTGCAACCAACTGCACTACCTTACCACAGTATTTTGTATTAACGGCGGTTTTAAAAAGTAAATAAAGACGCAAACTTATACACCAATAGCGTAACAAAAGTGTGACTCAGAAATGACGTCACATTCTCTGTAGCGCTCACTGGGAAACGGTCAAGTAAACGCTTCGTTCGTTTATTCATTTCCCCCCTTTTATTAAACTGACGTTTTTTGCGTTTATCTTGAAATTAATTTCTACATAGTTCTACAGGTTCAGTACGCAATTTCTAACAAACGAATCGTCAGATCGTCGCCATTTTTGGTCAACTTCACCGCTACATAGAGTACTGGAGGAATGTTCCTGGATTTTTTTCTATCTGCCTTCGTCTCGATTTTTTGTTCATTTTTATATAGAGACATGTTGTTTTTACTCAGTTATTAACGTACACAGATTTGAAATAGGGCTACATAAAAACAAATTATAGTTGGCAAAAAACGAAGAACATTGTACCTGAAGCACTTCTCTGCAATATTCACATGCAAAAATATATTCAAACGTGCTGCAAATTAGTTATTAATTGCGTCATTATCCGTTTTACTCCATTTTCGCTTATTCTTGTGATCACGTGACTTGGTATTTGCATAAATTAAAAAAAATGACATATTTTCAAAGTTTGAAACAAGATCTTTATTATGGTATAAAACATGTATGGGTTAAATGTATTTTTCAGTCTGTAAACTGAGGCCCAAAAATTTAACCAGCGAACGTATGCTAACCCCTTAAAGCGATACAGTTCATTATACTTTCATTAATTAATTAGTGGGTTCTTGCCATCAGGATACTGAAAATGAAAAAAATGGGCTCACTCGACAATATTTTGAGATAAAAGAATCCAGACATGTTATGAAAATTGTCAAAACTGACATTTATACACTGGTTACTATGGTGAGATTATTTCTTCATACACTGTATCTCAAAATTTTTGCTGGGTGAAAGCGATATAATATATTGACATGAATCGTAATATTGTGAAAACATTTACAAAAACATATAATTTAATGAGTTTCTAGGGTGATAATTTCTATATAAACTACGAGGTTATCACCTATAATGCATTGCGTATATGTGCAGTAACATGCTCAACAGTGCAGTGCACAACATTTGAATTTACCTCGAACTGCCTTAAGAAGCGTGGTCATCGTGAGTGGTCTCGCGGATCACGTGATCATTTTGAGTGGTCTTATTGCTATCAATATAATACACGTACACGTTCACGTATTACGATTACATCCAAGTACAACGCCATCAGTCACTGTCAAAATGGGCCAAGAAGTGGATGCGGTTTTAGTTTTGAGGACAGCCCCGCACACAAGTGAGAGATTAGAAACCGGGAGTTGGTTCATTATTTCTGTTTTCTCTTACATTCTTTCTGGATTTGTTTCTGGTTGACGTTTCTGCATTTTGTCTGAAATGGGTATATTTTCGACGTTATAAACATCATGAGTACATACACCTATGAACTAGACATAAAATTGCTACATTTTAAAGAGACTAACATGGTAACAACCGGTACGACTCTTACGACGTGCGTGATCGTCTGAAAAACAATCTTTGTTTGTCGCCGAGGCGGTTGTCACACTACATAGATCAGCGAGATTTTTCCTACTGACAATGTATATATGTGTAAGACGACGTGACCTAACATACATTTGACGTAAAGCAGCGCAGCTGAGGTAGCACTAATTGTCCGTAATTGGTTAGTGTATCAAACTCGCACGGTTGGGATGGACTAAGGTGGCCAATGTAAACGCCTCAATAAAAATGTATCTATAACAAATGGCTCTATAACCAACTACTGGTCAGAGGTCGCGGAAGTATTTCTAATACGGAACAGGTTTGGGTAATACCCACCCCTGTCCCACTCCTATTCACTTGCTTCCACGTTGTATTAGGCAGTTCCGCGACTACTTCAAACAGATGGGCCACCTTCGGATTTAGCTCTTACGGAAAAGCTCAAATATACACTTCAGTGGTACCAGTGCTGGTCTATTATGGACAGAGCAGGTAAGGTGTCTAAATAATGAGGAGTCCGAGCGTAAGTAATTGTAATAAACACCGCGTTCAGATTCGACCCCTGCAGGTATCCACCAACAGTACAAGCGCAATTTATCAAATTCGTCCGGGTCGTTTTTTTTATCAAGATTCTTCTGGGCCGTCGAAGAGACGAGAATTACATTCGTATTCGCTTCATCTTGACGTAATTCATAGTGGACGCGGTGTAAAAATGAATACAAACGACGCAGACAATTAATCAACGCAGGGGTAAAACAAAGAGCCATTCCATACTTCCTCATCGATGTTACGCGTCGTGTACAGAATGAAACTTTGAGTGTAAAGCAAATACAGTATTGGGGAACAATTACATTATATGATGCCTGACCATGTCAACATTTCCCGCAATATTATGAATTATTTTCAATTAATTAACTCATATACTGGACTACGACGCAAAACTATGTTAACAAAAATGAAAAACAGAAAACATTCGAAAGAAAAATTCACAAAATATTTCGTAAAATTAAAAAAAAAAAGAAAAAAGAAAAGAAAATGAGGCACACCGCCTTCACACATTGTACGAGATGGAAAAAACCCAATGTATTCAATGACGATGCAACAACAGTATTTTTATGGTAGTAAGTTCCACTCCAATTCGCTTGTATATAAGCGGTCAATAATCAGAATGAATGACGTATCACAGCGCCAGTGATTACCCACAACGCAATATGGTTTGTAGTGCCTTGCTATCTTTGGATATGCTTCATGTATTTTGAAAACATATTTGCTGAATAGTTTGATTTTTTACTTGAGCTGTTTTTTTTAAATCAATATCCAATGATAAAAAACCATATAGACGTCTGGGTAATTTATAGTGTAATAGTATGAGAAATGAGCTGTTTTTGACTTGAAATATGTAAAACTATGGTTCATTTCTCTATGATGTTTGGTGGAACTCATCGTTTTTATGACTTTCGAATTTCTTTTTGTAAATAGATTTTATTGCATAGAAAGCCTGCACTTTTATACCCTCATATATCACAATGCGTGTTTCCAAATAAAAATAAAATAAACACTGATCGAAATTACGCTGTTTTACGGCCGACCACTCGAAACAATATTTAAAAAAAAAAATGAATGTTTTTGTGCTAGGCGACATGACAGGACTGTGCGGCCACCTCTCCATCAAATGGCAATTTAATGCGCCAATTCTGGCGTCAACCAAGCTCGGTCGAACACAAGCACCTGTGGACCATAACCATAGTTCCCAACTGTCACAGTCACACTTTACATATGAACACGTGACAGCTGTAGTGAATTACACTTAAGAATACAACTGTAACGAGCTACCCGTTACACTTGAATGCAACTATAGCAATTATACTTTGCATTTGAGCACAATTGTAGCGAATTACACCTTTCATAAGCGTATGTCTTCTTTGTGCAGAAGGACAATCGGCTGAAGATAAGATCACAACAAAAATAAATGAATAAAAAAAAAACGACCCGGATGTACACGGCGCACCTGGCGCACACACGTGCAATAACGGACCATTCCATTCTAAAGTGGTACGACTTACTCATCTCATATACTTTAACTAAAACTGTAGGTGTTATACTTATAAGAATGTGGCGGTTTACTAAAAATATCACTGATGAAGTCACTAATTAAATGCACAGCCAAAACAATGGGAAAACAAATCTATTCTGTTTCTAATGTTTATCTTGGTGTTTTCAGTGAAATCACACATTGTTGCCACGGGAGAAGATTCCGGGATTACGCCTGACACGGTGGAAAGACACACAGAAGAAGGACATGGAACGACGAAAAAAAATCAAATCGCTGTCAGTAACAGGTCAGAAGGGAGGCATTCTGGGGAGGAGAATTGTCACGTGAACAAAGAGGCTATTCATGATCCGGAGAGGGACTCTGGAATACACGAACATAACAGAGAGGCGGAGACAGCACACGAAAACAAGAGGGAAGGACTCCCTGTTTGTGGTAAGTTCAGTATACATCGTACTGTTCTATTTTCCACTCAGTTACACATCAGTGTGACATAAGAGTCACTCAAGTCGTCGGTTCGAAAA